AGTAGAACGACTTGGAGAGCGTATAAATCTGTAGGGGAAGGAAGGCGGGGTAGGGGTTGTCCTAGGTAAGGTTGGAGGGAGGGGGTAAAGGAGGTTTTCTGGGTGAGGGGCTTGGACATCCAGCAAGTGTGTTAGGAGTGAGTGGAGACAAATGGTTTTTGGGACCTGACGAGCTGTTGGAATGTGGGCAGGGTAATATTTTGTGAAGGGATTCAAGGAAACCAGTTAGCTGGACTTGAGTCCTGGATATGAAAAGTACAGTGCATGCACTTTAACCCTTAAACTGTCCAAACGTAGATCTAAGTTCACGTGTGTATCGCTCTGACCTTGATTTTCCCCATTTGAAAGCATGTACAAAAAAATGTAGATCTACATTTGGAACCCCCCGCACGTGGACATAGATCTGTGTTTGGACAGTTTAAGGGTTAAAGGAGGGGTTTGGGATATTGGCTGTTTGGAGGGACATCTAAACTGTCATATTTGAGCACTTCTGCAAAGACAGTGATTATGTATGAATGGTGTTGAACGATGGTGAATGTTTTCTATTTTTGGGGGGGGGGGTTTCCTTTCTTTTTGGGTCACCCTGCCTTGGTGAGAAATGACCAACCTTTTTTTTTTTTTTTTTTTTTTTTTTTTGCACGTTGGCCGTTTCCTACCGAGGCAGGGTGACCCAACAAAATAGAAAAAACTTTCATTATCATTCAACACTTTCACCATCATTCATACATAATCACTGTCTTTGCAGAGGCACTCAGATATGGTAGTTTAGATGTCCCTCCAAACTGCCAATATTCCAAGCCCCTCCTTCAAAGTGCAGGCATTGTACTTCCCATTTCCAGGACTCAAGTCCGGTTAACTGGTTTCCCTGAAACCCTTCACAAAATATTACACTGCTCACACTCCAACAAGGAAACCAGTTAGCTGGACTTGAATCCTGGAGGTGGAAAGTACAGTGCCTGCACTCTGAAGCAGGGGTAGAGATATGTTGCAGTTTTAGAACTGTACTGTCGGCACGCCTCTGGCAAGACAGTGATGGAGTGAGTGATGATGAAAGTGTTTTTTTCTTTCAGGTCACCCTACCTCAGTGGGAAACAGCCGATGTTTAAAAAAAAAAAATGCAAAATTATCGTATTTGCGAGTGCATCAAAGAATCGGTATTGGGGTAGCATCGGTTTATTTTTATGGCATTGATTTCAACCTAAAATTGAGTATAGGTGTATTGGTGGATATTTCCTAATTTTGATTATTTTTATTATTTTTTTTTTATCACACTGGCCGATTCCCACCAAGGCAGGGTGGCCCGAAAAAGAAAAACTTTCACCATCATTCACTCCATCACTGTCTTGCCAGAAGGGTGCTTTACACTACAGTTTTTAAACTGCAACATTAACACCCCTCCTTCAGAGTGCAGGCACTGTACTTCCCATCTCCAGGACTCAAGTCCGGCCTGCCGGTTTCCCTGAATCCCTTCATAAATGTTACTTTGCTCACACTCCAACAGCACGTCAAGTATTAAAAACCATTTGTCTCCATTCACTCCTATCAAACACGCTCACGCATGCCTGCTGGAAGTCCAAGCCCCTCGCACACAAAACCTCCTTTACCCCCTCCCTCCAACCCTTTCCCTAGGCCGACCCCTACCCCACCTTCCTTCCACTACAGACTGATACACTCTTGAAGTTATTCTGTTTCGCTCCATTCTCTCTACATGTCCGAACCACCTCAACAACCCTTCCTCAGCCTCTGGACAACAGTTTTGGTAATCCCGCACCTCCTCCTAACTTCCAAACTACGAATTCTCTGCATTATATTCACACCACACATTGCCCTCAGACATGACATCTCCACTGCCTCCAGCCTTCTCCTCGCTGCAACATTCATCACCCATGCTTCACACCCATATAAGAGCGTTGGTAAAACTATACTCTCATACATTCCCCTCTTTGCCTCCAAGGACAAAGTTCTCTGTCTCCACAGACTCCTAAGTGCACCACTCACTCTTTTTCCCTCATCAATTCTATGATTCACCTAAATCTTTCATAGACCCATCCGCTGACACGTCCACTCCCAAATATCTGAATACGTTCACCTCCTCCATACCTCTCCCTCCAATCTGATATTCAATCTTTCATCACCTAATCTTTTTGTTATCCTCATAACCTTACTCTTTCCTGTATTCACCTTTAATTTTCTTCTTTTGCACACCCTACCAAATTCATCCACCAATCTCTGCAGCTTCTCTTCAGAATCTCCCAAGAGCACAGTGTCATCAGCAAAGAGCAGCTGTGACAACTCCCACCCTGTGTGTGATTCTTTATCTTTTAACTCCACGCCTCTTGCCAAGACCCTCGCATTTACTTTTCTTACAACCCCATCTATAAATATATTAAACAACCACGGTGACATCACACATCCTTGTCTAAGGCCTACTTTTACTGGGAAAAAATTTCCCTCTTTTCTACATACTCTAACTTGAGCCTCACTATCCTCGTAAAAACTCTTCACTGCTTTCAGTAACCTACCTCCTACACCATACACTTGCAACATCTGCCACATTGCCCCCCTATCCACCCTGTCATACGCCTTTTCCAAATCCATAAATGCCACAAAGACCTCTTTAGCCTTATCTAAATACTGTTCACTTATATGTTTTCACTGTAAACACCTGGTCCACACACCCCCTACCTTTCCTAAAGCCTCCTTGTTCATCTGCTATCCTATTCTCCGTCTTACTCTTAATTCTTTCAATTATAACTCTACCATACACTTTACCAGGTACACTCAACAGACTTATCCCCCTATAATTTTTGCACTCTCTTTTATCCCCTTTGCCTTTATACAAAGGAACTATGCATGCTCCTGCCAATCCCTAGTACCTTACCCTCTTCCATACATTTATTAAATAATTGCACCAACCACTCCAAAACTATATCCCCACCTGCTTTTAACATTTCTATCTTTATCCCATCAATCCGGCTGCCTTACCCCCTTTCATTTTACCCACTGCCTCACGAACTTCCCCCACACTCACAACTGGCTCTTCCTCACTCCTACAAGATGTTATTCCTCCTTGCCCTATACACGAAATCACAGCTTCCCTATCTTCATCAACATTTAACAATTCCTCAAAATATTCCCTCCATCTTCCCAATACCTCTAACTCTCCATTTAATAACTCTCCTCTCCTATTTTAACTGACAAATCCATTTGTTCTCTAGGCTTCCTTAACTTGTTAATCTCACTCCAAAACTTTTTCTTATTTTCAACAAAATTTGTTGATAACAGCTCACCCACTCTCTCATTTGCTCTCTTTTTACATTGCTTCACCACTCTCTTAACCTCTCTCTTTTTCTCATATACTCTTCCCTCCTTGCATCACTTCTACTTTGTAAAACTTCTCATATGCTAACTTTTTCTCCCTTACTACTCTCTTTACATCATCATTCCACCAATCGCTCCTCTTCCCTCCTGCACCCACTTTCCTGTAACCACAAACTTCTGCTGAACACTCTAACACTACATTTTTAAACTACCCCATCCTCTTCGACCCCATTGCCTATGCTCTCATTAGCCCATCTATCCTCCAATAGCTGTTTATATCTTACCCTAACTGCCTCCTCTTTTAGTTTATAAACCTTCACCTCTCTCTTCCCTGATGCTTCTATTCTCCTTGTATCCCATCTACCTTTTACTCTCAGTGTAGCTAAAACTAGAAAGTGATCTGATATATCTGGGGCCCCTCGATAAACATGTACATCCTAAGTCACCAACATCTTTATCTACCAATACTAATCCAACAAACACTGTCTTTTTCCCCTACATAACGGGTAATTTTATTTATCCCTTTTTCTTAAAAAGTATTCCATAACTAAACCCCTTTCTATAAAAGTTCAATAAAAGGGCCCCCCATTATCTTTTTAACACCGGGCCCCCAAACTTACCTACCACACCCCCTCTAAAATTTTTCTCCACTTTAGCTTCAGGTCCCCTACCAAAATTACTTTTCTCACTTGGTTCAAAGGCCCCTTTAAACATTCATTTAAAAATCTCCCAAAATCTCTCCTCCCTCTGCTTTTCCCTCTTCCCGGGTGCAACACGCTTATTATGACCCCTTCCGCATCAACCCTTTACTTTAACCCACAAAATCTCGAATTTACCATTCAATTCTCTTTTCCCCTTTCCAAAGTCATTTAACATTACTGCTCCCCCCTTCCTTTGCCAAACTCTCTCAATACTCCAATTTAATCCCTTATTTTCCCCCCAAAAAACTCTCCTACCCCCTTCACTTTTTCGCTTAGACCAGGACTCCAACTTTTTTTCATTCATAACATCACAATCATCTGTTTCTTGTCATCCCCCTACATCCACGCACATTTAAACAACCCATTTTATAAATTTTTTTTTCTTCTCTTTTTTAGTAAATTATACAGGAGAAGGGGTTACACCCATTGCCCCGCTTTTAGTCCCTCTACGACCCTGGGTACGGGGGAAATTCTTTTTCCCCTTCCCCATGGACAATAGAAGAAATAAAAAAGAACAAGACTATTTAGAATAAGGAGAAAAAACCCAATTATGTATATATATTTAAAAGCATGGCGTTCTGTGAAGTTGACCAAAGTGAAGTAGGAGTACAAGATATCCCCCGTTTTCTAGCTGTTTTTTGAGACAGAAAAAGAAAACCAGCAATCCTACCATCATGCAAAACAGTTACAGGTTTTTGTTTCACAGTCATCTGGCAGGACAGTAGTACTTCCCTGGGTGGTTGCTGTCTACCAACCTACTACCTTAATTTTGATGTTATCGGTATTAGTATCAGTAGGAATCAGCTACGTGTGATAGTATCAGTATTGCCCTAAAAACTGATTATTGGTATCAGTCTTGGCAAACATTTTGGTATCGTCCCAGCCCTAATCATGTCAGTGATTTTCATTATTTTTTGAATGTCACAGTTAAAGCCTGCATCTTTGTTGTGTACTTTTACAAACATTTATTTTTCACAGGTATTGCTCGCAGACTACCAGAACAAGATATGTGTCATGGCTCAAGAAGAAAATGCATTGGGTCGTTTCTTAAAAGAGTATGGGAAGCAGGACAGAAGTCGAGCTGGGAAAATGATGACCGCTGTTGGAAAAAGCTTAAGTTACACTGCTCAGCAGCGAGTGGCTCTCCGAAATCCCCTAGTGAGGCTGTTTCAGGAGGTTGATACTTTCCATACCCGTGCAGTTGAGGACACTGCATGTACTGTTGCAGAGATGGAAAAAATTAGAACTGAATACCGGGGTGCACTAATGTGGATGAAAAACATCTCTCAAGATTTTAATCCAGATCAGTATCATCAGTTGGAAAAATTTAGAGAAGTTCAAGGAACAGTGAAGCAGAAAAAAGCCAAGTTTGATCGCATCAAGCTAAAGAGTTTGCAGAAGATTGACCTTCTCGCAGCTTCTAGGTGCAATATGTTTTCTCATGCCCTTATAGTTTACCAAAATAACCTCATCACATTCTCAGACAAAATTTCTAAAACTCTTAACAGTGTGGCTAATAACTTCAAAGGTTATCAACCTTATGATTTTCAAGTTATTAAGGAACTTGCAGAACCACCTAGGAAACTAAGTGATGATGCAAAGGAGGAGAAAGAGGAGGATGGAGAGAAACTAGAAGGGGATGAAGAAACATTTTTTCATGCTGAATATCATGATGATCCTGATAATAAAAGTATTAGAAGTCAAGAGAGACAATCAGGTAATAAAACTAAAAAAGCAAGTACTGATCAGAATAAATCAGACAGTATGGTAAATCTCCTTGACTGCAGCGATGAGAATAAGATTGAGGCATTATCATCATTAAAACAAACAGAGAATAAATCACTCGCACAATTTGACAACAGTTCTCAGATAATGGACTTTTTGACAAATAATCCTGAAGTGCCTGATACAGAAAAAGATACACAACAGATGCTGAAGGAATTATTCGATAGCCCTATCCATCAGCCACTTCCGGTATTTGGCAGTGACTTAGGTGCTGGCACATCACCAGTTAGCGCTGCAGCCCAGAACTCCAGTGTCACTCAGGGTCTTGAGGATTTAGACACTGATCCCTTTTCTATGTTACAGAATCAATCAAACCAACAGCCACAAAACATGTTCCTTCCATCCCAACTATTAGATTTTGGTATGAAAGGTTGGGAATCCCAGACAGTGCAACAAGCCTCAACATCAACTCTTCAACCACAACCCCTTACCTCATCTGCTAACAAAACCTCACCAACAAGTTCTTGGGCACACCAAAAATGTTCCCCTAATATTACAAGCAACTCATCTAACCAAAATTTAAAACAAGAAATTCAAAAGTTGGATTGGTACAGAGTATTCCAAGACATTGATCCACTGGGTGATCCAGCAAGTGCCATATTCAACCAAGTGACGGAGGATGATAAAAAGTGTTAAGCATTATTCATTAACTAAACTTGAAAAATCAGTACTTTACAGGTACAGATGATTACAATTGGTTATAGTTTTTATTCTTTTGACCATAAATTAGTGAAGTCTTCTTGACTTCAATTAATTTTGATAACTATATTTTGTCATTATTCATGATTTGTTATAATTTAATTACCTTTCTGTTTGAGTGTTTTAAAACCAAATTGTATGGAGTAACTATTTATTTTTTGTTACATAATTAAAACAATATAAAATATCAAAATCCTTTCACAGTTCACTTAATTTACTTAGAAAATTTGTTGAATGTTATATGATATTTGTTAATGTATCATTCTTCTAATATAATTTGTTGGATGTCATATGATATTTGTTAATGTGTCATTATTCTAAGTTTATGCTTTGATTCAACAGGTATGTACATTCCACTAGTCATTGCTATTACCAAATTCCAAGGTCAGTTTTTTTCTAGTCATGAGGATAGTTATATTTAGGAAATTTGGATACAGGTCATGCTTGGGGCCCACTATACAATATATATTTGTGCACCAGGTAGGTGTGGCTCTGGAAGTAAATTTAGGGATTCGAGACAAATCACTGGGGCTCTATTCAGGTCAGGCCTGCTTTGTTTTTTGTAGCCATAGGCATTCAACAATAGCACAGGATTGTGACAAGTATTATGCTCTAATTTCCCCCCCTTTTTTTTTTTTTCTTTTTTTTGTACGCCATGTTCCATACCAGGAGGTTCCTTTACTGCCTTATATTATTTTGTGTAGTTCTGTATATACCATGTTGCAAGTGTGTATATCCAGTTAAATGTACAGTAAAACCTCAATTTAGTGGAGTTCAGAAACAATGGACAAATAATTTGGCTGGACAAAATTTGGATTTAATGGCAAGTCTACTGGATAATAAATTTGTCCATTAGCAGTGGCATGTCCAGTAGTCTCTGGATCCAGTAGACCAAGTCTGTCTTCCGGCCCTTGTCCAGTATGGGTCAGAGTTCAATGGAACCCCTATTAACGAGTGCATCCACGTGCAAGTTTTTCCAGATACAAGCAGTTGATCAGTCAATTTTTTGTTTCCATATGTGAGTGAAATTTACAGATGCGAGCGGGCCTCAAGGGAGATTCCTTGACGCTGGTGAGGGGCTCTTGCTCTTGATTTAGGGAATTGGATCTCATTTGTTTGTTGAACTATCTTATTGAAACTTGGGCAATGTACAACGGAAAGATGTTTCTTATTGTACACCAAAATTGAATGAAATCTGACTGTAAATAACAGGGTTCACTTCTCTGCTATTAGCCGGCCCTTTTTGGTATATTTTCATATGGTTTTTATGGTTGTATTCTCTCTCTCTCCTTTTTTTTTTTTTGTCAGTTGATAGAACGGAAGATATATTACAGAAATAGATATGATTTTGATTGCTTTCACGACGAAAAGTACCTTGAAATTGAACTCAAAGTAGCGGAAATGTTTGATTTTTGCCGTTGTTCAAGAGTAAGCAAATGACGTCACCGAGTGGCCATTCCAACATGCATTCACGAATGGGTTGACATTATTTGTACTATTATTACAATAATGCAGTAGTCTGCATAACAGTAAATCTGTTTTTTGTCTGAATAAAAATTCCAAAAGATAAGCAAGAGTAATATTATAAGAATACGTGTGTACTACTACTACTAATAATAATAATATGTATAATACAGTAATTATATATGTAATATAAATTATTATAAGAATGCGTACATACTAATAAATGATACGTAATTCTAATAATAATACTATAAATGAGTTTCAGTTCGCCACCACAAGATGGCAGTGTTTGTCAAAACATAGCCGCTCAGGGAGGGAGGGAAATCTTGTGTTTTCCTTACGTTTTGTGCAGTTATTTTGTGAAATTTCTTCTTTCTAGCCATGGGTCCTAAGAAAGCAAGTGCAAAGGAGAGTGCTGAGAAGAAAAACAGGATGATTTCCATGGAATTAAAGCAGGAAATCATACATAAACACAAACTACTCTTAAGAGTGTACCATAAAGAATGTACCATTAAGAGTGTAACGATTAAGCAATAGAAAAAGGACGATCTAATGAAGTTTGCCTTACAAACTCTGTTTTCTGTTATAATGAAAACATGGGAAGGTATGCCAGAGGAGCAGGAATGGCCACCGTGGTGGCCCTATACACCACAACAACAATGGCTGCTGCCTCCGCCTTCACTAACACTACTACATACGTAATATTTCATTTATTCTGGTGTATATTTCATGTTTCTGTGTTATTAATATTGTTTATTATGTCATATTAGATGAATTGTGATAGATAAATAAGCCATAGAGTTGATATTAGAGAAATTATTGAAGTATTTTGATGGTGCCTAGAATTCCACTGAAACGAATTAATTCCAATTCAATTAATTTAAACGAGGAAAATTGACTCTGCAAACGAGCAAATCCACATGTGAGCAAGGTCACGGAACAGGTTAAACTCATTAGTGAAGGTTCCGCTGTATTTGCATCTTGGACCTGTCCGTTTTCATTTTGACCCAAGGCACAGGCCACCTGTGTCAGTTTAGCATTGTCTTCTCTCCTGTAGAGTGTAGCGCTTCATTTTTTATTATAATAATTCATGTAGAGTTGTCATTCAGTCTCCAATTTTCCCTGGAATTAGCATTTTTTATTACTTTAATAACATATTAAATACCATGTTATTAGCATTGGGCTTTAAAGCAGGTGGTGGTGCCAAAAGGAAGCATGTGAATCTGAGTATTAAGCAGAAACTTGAATTACTAAGGAAGGTGGAGTCTGGCGTGTTGGTGACACACATGTATTAGTAATATGATGTAGCAAGGACAAAATTACAGCATATGCTCTTAGGTTTAGTGTATATGCTAGCCAAAAAAGGTTTGACAGCTGGTTCTAGAAAGTATATGAAAGCAGTGCAAGTTAAAAAGCTTGAAGACATAGTGCATAAATGGTATGTTCAACGATGTTATGTTAGTGTTAACATTCGTAGTGTCTCTATTTACTCTGCTGCTATGTTTGCATAGCATATGAACATAAAATTTCAGGCAAGTAATGATTGGCCTTGGCACTTCCATAATCACCAAGGCTTGAGTAATGTAAAGACTTATGGCACTGCTGGTAATGCACCTTCAGACAAAGGTGATCTGTTCAGTTTAATGTTAAATTATCTGATAGTGAGAAGCCCCTTCTATCTCATTTGTTTAATGATAATGGGACTGGTCTTTTTTGGTGCTCATTCTCTTTTTAACACTCAAGCCTTTTTCAGCATGAATGAAGGACACGAGGTTGTAATCCCAACAAAGACTGATTCTCAATATTATAATGCCAATGGTACACATTATTTGAAACTGACAGACGGACAAATCAACAAGTCTACATTCTTTTAAGAATTGTGTGAAAAAGTTGCCTCTCAATTATTACAAGGGTTAGAAAGGCTGATTTAACAGATATATTTTCTGATTTTTTGAGGGGGCACATTTTGTCCCTGAAGTACACAAGCACTAGTTACAAGCTCAAGTTGATCTTGAGGAAGTTATGGCTCTTCTGTTGCCTGCTCACCCAAGGGCTGAAAAATTAAGCAGCAGTGATGGTAAAATTAAGGTTGTATTTTTGTTTCCCAAATACCACTTCCCTGATCCAACCTATGCATCAAGGGGGTTATTGCAGCCTGCTAGAACTTGTATCAGTCTAAACACTCAGAGTATTGGTAGTGATTGAGGAGGTAAGGGGAGGTGGAGTACCACAGAGGTTTACAGAAAACACATTACAGATTAGTAGTTGGCCCAAAATCACATCTAATCGATATCAATATCATATGTTAATAGATCGCAATAAAGCTAACACAATCATAAGAACATAAGAAAGGAGGAACATTGCAGGAGGCCTGCTAGCCCATACTAGGCAGGTCCTTTACAATTCATCCCACTAACAAAACATTTGCCCAACCCAATTTTCAATGCCACCCAAGAAATAAGCTCTGATGTGAAAGTCCCACTCAAATCCAACCCCTCCCACTCATGTACTTATCCAACCTAGATTTGAAACTACCCAAAGTCCCAGCCTCAATAACCCAACTAGGTAGACTGTTCCACTCATCAACTACCCTATTTCCAAACCAATACTCTCCTATGTCCTTTCTAAATCTAAACTTATCTAATTTAAATCCATTACTGCGGGTTCTCTCTTGGAGAGACATCCTCAAGACTTATTAATATCCCTTTATTAATACTATCTTCCACTTATACACTTCGATCAGGTCTCCCCTCATTCTTCGTCTAACAAGTGAATGTAACTTAAGAGTCTTCAATCTTTCTTCATAAGGAAGATTTCTAATGCTATGTATTAATTTAGTCATCCTACGCTGAATGTTTTCTAACGAATTTATGTCCATTTTGTAATACGGAGACCAGAACTGAGCTGCATAATCTAGTTGGGGCCCTTTAAACTAATGATGTATAAAGCTGCAGTATGACCTCTGGACTTCAGTTGCTTACACTTCTTGATATAAATCCCAGTAATCTATTTGCCTTATTACGTACGCTTAGGCATTGCTGTCTTGGTTTAAGGTTGCTGCTCACCATAACCCCCAAGTCCTTTTCGCAATCTGTATGGCTAAGTTCTACATCATTTAACTTATAATTACTAGGGTTATGGGCACTCCCAAGCTTCAGAACCTTGCATTTATCTACATTGAACTGCATCTGCCACTTTTCTGACCAAAAATAGAGTTTGTTTAAATCCTCCTGAAGTTCCATAACATCTACGTTTGAATCAATTATCTTGCCTATCTTTGTGTCATCGGCGAATTTGCTCATATCATAGTAATTCCCTCATCAAGATCATTGATATATATTATAAACAACAACGGGCCCAAGACTGATCCCTGTGGAACGCCACTTGTTACAGATCCCCACTCGGATTTAACCCCATTTATGGAAAACTCTCTGCTTCCTGTCAGTGAGCCATGACTCGATCCACGAGAGCACTTTTCCCCCAATGCCATGAGCTGCCACTTTCTTTAACAGTCTATGGTGCGGAACTCTATCAAAAGCCTTACTAAAATCTAAGTAAATAATATCAAATTCTTTATTGTGGTCAACAGCCTCAAAAGCTTTACTGAAGAAAGTTAATAAATTAGTTAGACAAGACCGGCCTCTTGTGAATCCATGCTGAGTATCATTAATCAAGCTATGCTTATCGAGATGGCTTCTTATAATCTCAGCTATAATTGACTCTAGTAATTTGCCTACAATTGAGGTCAGGCTTATTGGGCGGTAATTTGACGGTAACGACTTGTCCCCTGTTTTAAAAATAGGAATTACATTAGCCATCGTCCACATATCAGACACTACACCTGTTTGAAGAGATAAATTAAAAATATTAGTTAATGGTTCACAGAGTTCCATTTTGCATTCCTTAAGAACCCTTGAAAAAACCTCATCAGGACCCGGCGACTTATTTTGCTTCAGTCTGTCTATCTGCTTCACAACCATCTCACTAGTGACTGTTTTTTTTTTTTTTTTTTTTTTTTTTTTTTTTTTTTTTTCTCAACAAGTCGGCCGTCTCCCACCGAGGCAGGGTGACTGTGATGTTACATAATTTATCTTCTTCTAGCCCACTGTAAAAATTAATTACTGGAATATTGTTAGTGTCTTCCTGTGTAAAAACTGAGAGAAAATAATTATTTAAAATCAAGCACATTTCATTCTCTTTGTCAGTAAGGTGCCCATAGTTATTTTTAAGGGGACCTATCTTATCTCTAACTTTTGTTCTATAGACCTGGAAAAAACTTTTTGGGTTAGTTTTAGAATCCTAGCAACTTTAATTTCATAGTCCCTTTTAGCTTTTCTTATCCCCTTTTTAATGTCCCTCTTAATGTCAGTATACTGATTCATAAGATGACCCTCACCTCTTTTGATACGCCTATAAATTCCTTTCTTATGTCCTAGTAGATATTTGAGCCTATTATTCATCCATTTTGGGTCATTTCTATTTGATCTAATTTCTTTATATGGGATAAACGCTCTTTGAGCAGCATGTATAGTGTTCAGAAAACTGTCATATTGATGCTCTCTTCGTTACCCAGTCAACAAATGATAAGTGTTCTCTAAGCCCATCGTAATCTTGCTAAGCGAAAATCAGGGGACTGTTACTGAGTTATCGCTACTATCGTACTTCCATTCAATGCTAAATGTAATTGATTTGTGGTCGCTAGCACCCAGTTCCTCTGAAATTTCTAAATTATTAACAAGGGATTCTTGTTTGCCATAACTAAGTCAAGCAGGTTATTTCCCCTTGTAGGTTCTGTCACAAACTGCTTCAAAAAAACAATCCTGAAATACTTCTAAGAAGTCGTATGATTCTAATTCCCAGTCAAGAAATTCCAATCAACATGACTAAAGTTAAAGTCTCCTAGAATTACTACATTATCGTGCCTTGTGGCCTTAACAATTTCCTCCCATAGTAGTTTCCCTTGGTCCCTATCTAAGTTTGGGGGATGGTATATCACTCCTAAAATCAGTTTTTCATGCCCCTCTGAAATTCTATCCAAACAGACTGTATGTTGTTACTTCAGACTTAATACCCATTTTTATGCAACAGTTCAAGCGATTCTCGGACTATACAATGGCCATCCCACCCCCTCCCAATACTTCTATCTTCTTGGAACAATTTAAAACCTGAATATGACATTCCGCAGCATGTCCCGACTTTTTGAATTAAAACACGTCTCAGTTAAGGCAAATACATCAATGTTACCTACACTAGCAACTAATCTCACTCGTCCATCTTATTCCTAGCACTACGGCAATTAGCATAATAAACATTGAAAGACTCTCCTTTCTCTTTACCCTTCCTGCTCATTTCTATTTTTCTACTAAACCTATTACTGTCCTTATCACCCAAGGTCCCTGGCTTTACAATATCTATCTCTAAATAACAAAAAGGCACAATACCGTGACTGGAACGATACACAAATAACCCGCACATAAAAGACAGAAGCTTACGACGACGTTTCGGTCCGACTTGGACCATTGACAAAGTCACACTAACAGAGGAGGAGCAGGACGGCTATATATGTGCGGGTTATTTGTGTAATATCTATCTCGTTCTTATTATTACTAGTTCCCCTAGAACTCGTAATATTACTACACTGGGACTTCACTGTTTTCCTGCCAAAACCCATACCACTAACTATTCCTAGTTTAAAGTCCTAACTGCTCCCTCCACTGCAGTTGCCAGTGCTCCCACCCCACACCTAGATAAGTGAACCCCATCCCTAGCATACATGTCATTTCTGCCATAGAAGAGGTTTCCAGTTGTCAACGAATGTTACCGCATTTTCCTTACAGTATTTGTCCAGCCAACAATTGACACCAATTGCCCTGGACAACCATTCATTTCCAACTCCCCTCCTTGGCAAAATACCACATATGAGAGGGTTCCCACCCTTACTTCTAATTATTTCTATTGCTGACCTATACCTGCTAATCAGGTCCTCACTCCTACGTCTGCCAACATCGTTGCCTCCAGCACTGAGACAGATAATAGGATTGCTCCCATTTACCTCTCATGATGTCATCCAGACGGCTAACAATATCCTCCATCCAGCCCCAGGAAAGCAAAACTCTCTGTCTCTACTCCTGTCCTTCAAGCAGAACGCCCTATCCATATTACCTAACTTGGCTATCCCACAACACAACAATTTCTTACCTTCCTTAATGTCTTTCGTCGTGACGTTCCCAGTAGTCGACTCACATTCGTCGGGTAGCACTGAGAATGTATTGGATGTTTCCACAACAGTTTCCACGGCAGTCTCTTTCTTCTTCATCGTTTCTACCTTTCCATTCGTCTTCTTGATCGTCAACTTCTTTCCCTGCTGTCCAGCCACTGACAGTTTCCCTTCTTGACCTGAGGACTCAAAACAGGAGGACTACTCCGAATCTTTTGTTTTCCTCGGTCAGTCGCCGAATTTCCATATTCGCCAACTCAATTCTTCCTTAAGCTGTTGGTAAAGTTGCTCGATGGAGGGCATCTTGCGTTCAATTCTAGATGAGCGCTCAAACAGGTCTTCACAGAGCCAAGTACACGTCAACACTGCGCAAAAGCCAACTCAATCAGGAGCTACTGCGCAGCACGTCCACACGGCTCAATAGCGATGCGAACATATATATATATAATATATATATTATATATATATATATATATATATTATATTTTATATATATATTATATAATATATATAATAATATATATATATATATATATATATATATATAAAATACAAACAAACAATTTTTTTTTGGGGGTTTTGGGAGTTTTTTTACTTCCTGTCTTCCAAGCTCACCCCCATGGCGGTCTTAAAAACTCTTCTTGCCTTGTGAAGAGGTTGGAGAGGGACCTCCTGCCTCCCAAAGCAACCTACGTTCTACCTCCTGGCACTATATAAGGCCCATTTCTGTCACTTCAACTTCATATTGTTCAGACAACGGAACAATGCTCTTCTCCAGACTGAGGGTCTGTCCACCTCAAAACCTTGAGGGTGATGGATGATTACATCATCTTCAAGTATTTCTGCTTCTATCAAACTTTTCTGTACTCGACTGAAGAAGCCTACTGTGTAGTGCGAAACGTTTCGGAAAATAAAGATACCTAATGTTGCTTATGTGTCTTACTACACTCTCTTGCTTGTTTGAGCCACGGCAGTGAAGGTGGAAAGAAAAAAAGTTGAGATATACCTGCAAATACAAGTATTTCCAGAGCAGAAAGCTGGGCTGCAAGGGTGCTTTTAGGTCTGGCGATAACAGTGAGGGGGGGGGGGAAGGGGTGAACATAGACTGACTGATATGAGAGACCTTCATAGGAGTAGATCTGGAAGCTGAACACCTAGGTGAACCCAAGATACATTAGAGAACATTTACTAGGAGTTGCATAACCCTTATGGATTTAGCACTAACTAGAACTCCTCAAGGGAGGTTCCTTGATAACGATAAGGGGCCTTTGATCCAAGGAATTGGACGTGTCCTTCCCTTGGATCAAACCCTGCAGATTGGTGCTTTCATGTGATTGAAGCTGTGTAGCCCTTGTGGCTTAGCGCTTCTTTTTGATTATAATAATAACAATTTCATGTGATTGAAATAATGAATAAAGATACAGAACACTTGACTAGAACAGTACACAAACAACCTGCACTTAGA